AGAACAGCAAGAAATGATTGTAACGGCAATTAACTTTCACTCACATACACACACACACACACACACACACACACACACACACACACACACACGCACACGCACACGCACAGCATTAGATATACTACTTTGAAAATGCTGCAGTCAGCTGGCAAAAAAATGCTGATTATATATTTTTTTCCATTCAGTTAGCGCATATGTGCCTGCTAATTTTACTAGTGGGATTTAATTAAATCAGTTTATTCGCTCATTTTGAGGGGTTAGCCAAAGTAGAGGTTGAGTTTGTCTCCAGGAATTTAACGTAAGTCAGTGCAGTTCCGAATAATGGATGGATAGCTGAAGGACAAGAACCCTGTGTGTGTGTGTGTGTGTGTGTGTGTGTGTGTGTGTGTGTGTGTGTGTGTGTGTGTGTGTGTGTGTGTGTGTGTGTGTGAGCATGCGTGCGTGCGTGCGTGCGTGCGTGTGTATGTGCGCGTGTGTGTGTGTGTCAGGGTTATCTCTGCCTCATTCAAGTCATGCGACAGGTCAGACACCCCATTGTCACTGGAGGCTTTCATGGGCTGACTTGAGATGGGCTGTCATCCAGTCCAATTATACAGAGAAGAATAGGCCTTGTTGCGCACTGGGGATTGCTTCAAAACCCCAAAAAACAGCGACGAGGACAGTACAGTCTTCTATGGCCTCTGGCTCCGAGTCACACGCGTTCGGAATCACACGGCCGAGAAACTCCGATATATTGGTGAAAACGAAAATTGAGGATGTAGTGGAGCAATTCCAAGTCTGGCTGACTGACTGAGTGATAGATGAGAGTTTGGTGGAGATAACTGGGAGATGGTGAAACAGCTGAACTGCACTGGTGGGAGGCCAGGACGGGGGTGGTGGTGGTGGCGACATCAGCTGACATGAACATCCTCATTTTGCATTCTCCTAGCCGCTGCTCGAGTTCTCCCAGTGTCGAAAGGTCCTTTTCTCCTAGAACGGATGTCAAGAAGCACCACTTACCTCGAAGCACTCATGGGGAACTGCTTTGATTTATTTAATACCATCCTGCCACTGCACTCACATTCTGTCTTCTGTCACGTTAGACATTGTTAGACTAATATAAACCGCAAGAGGGAGTAAAACGAGTTGAACATGTAGACAGGCGGAATGAATCAACACAGGTTTTCTATTCCGGTCTCAAGTACTAATGAATTGCATTATCTAGATGGCGAATGATTAAGAAGACACCGCAAAAGACCCATCTCATCCGTCATGTCATTAAGTTTGCCACACGTCTCCTTGTTTAGTGTCAAGAGTTGTGACAGCTCAAGATGGCGGAAATCTTAGTTGAGATAATCCTATCGCAGGCAGGCCTCCAGTGTCCTTGCTGCTCATTCCCTCTCACTGATGTGGAACGCGTGGGGCTTAGGTGAGGAGAAGGGATTTGCTCGGGCGCCTTTTTTTCAACTGGGGACACACACACACACACACACACACACACACACGCACACGCACACGCACACGCACACGCACACACAAACATGCGCACGCGCTCCATCAATCTCCTAATCTGCTATATCAACGAAGTTGTTTTGAAAGTGACAAATCCAGCCTTTAATTCAACGCTAATGAAATATTTAGTACACACAGTGTGTTTAAATATAAGAAGAATGCAATGGAGCTTTCTATAATTGCCTTAGATTTCAAGGTCAGTGTAATTGTTCATTAATGCCAAGAATACTCTTGTAACGAGTTGTATCCATCCATCCCATCTGATTTTAGAGTGAAGGATGAACAAATTGCATCGTCAAATCAGCTATGTGAAGGACTGGACTAGCAATGGTATATATTAAAGTAATAGCAATATTAAAGAGCAACATTTGGAGTGCCTAAATTTCAGTATTATGTTTTTGAGAGTTGATCCTGAAGCCTTGCCTGAGTCAAACTAACACTGACTCGTTGCAAAACATTATAGCCCCATATAGTTATATTCACTTGCTAGATCTCGTGAACCTTAAGAGCTCCAACTAATTTTGGATATTGAGCTTGGCTATTCTGGTTCTCGAAAGTTAAACTTGCAGTATTTCATTGTATTGACTACTTACATTATTTATACGCTCTGTCCACGTTGACTTGACTTGACTTTGTAAGTTAACTAAACCAATTGCTTGTTTTGCTATTTGTTTTTTTTAAATTTTCAACCATTTATTTTGGTCTGAGACAAAACCTTACTCTAAATGTATGACACTGTATGAATGAATGCTATATATCCAGGGATTGCGGCAATGTGGAATTCATCAGTCATTTACACTACTCAATCTAAGGTGAAACATGTGGTGGATCAGTGGTAGAGTGGTCGTCTCCCAACCTGAAGTTTGGGGGTTTGATCCTCAACCATTGTTACCATGTTGAAGTGTTCTTGCGCAAGATACTGAACCCTCAACTGCTTTTGATGCTGGGTCATCGGAAGGGGAAATGAGCAAACAATGTTTCAGCGCTGGCCATTTTAAAGTTAAGTCCGCTTGACTCAAAATGGCTAGTTGTAGAAAGGTCTATTCATTTGTGGGACTTTTGAACTATGCAGAGATGTGGGTTAGTTTAATCTGGTAAAAACAGTGTTCATGCTCATAATGTACAATAGAGCAGCCCGGTGGTCCAGTGGTTAGCGCGTCGACCTCACAATACAATTCCAGCTCCGGCTTCCCTGTGTGGAGTTTGCATGGGTTTTCTCTGGGCACTCTGGTTTCACTCCCACATTCCAAAAACATGCATGACAGGATGACTGAACACTCAAAATTGTCCCTAGGTGTGAGTGTGAGTGCGGATGGTTGTTCGTCTCTGTGTGCCCTGCGATTGGCTGGCGACCAGTTCAGGGTGTCCCCCGCTTACTGCCAGAAGACAGCTGGGACAGGCTCCAGCACGCCCCGCGACCCTTGTGAGGATAAAGCGGTTCAGAAAATAAGATAAGATAAGATAAGATAAGAAAACCTTTATTAGTCTCGCAATGGAGAAATTCCCAATACACAGCAGCAAAGTTATGAAAGGAAGAAGTAGAACTAAATGGATGGATGGATGGATAATGTACAATAAGTCACTGTTTGAAAAGTTGATACAGCTTGTGGTTAAAAGTTAAATGTACTTCCACAATTTGTAGAACACTGAAATAAGTAGAACATTACACTGATCTTGATTTGATGAATGATGTTGAAACTAAGATTATCCTCTATTTGAGCTAACTTCTGTTTTCAAGGCAGCTTTTTTGATTTACATCTGCAAGGAGAACCAGCTTGAAATGTTTTGCAGTGCTGAGAGGGAAAGCAAAGGTGTCTGGGAAGAATTATTGGTCTACTCCTGTCGTGCTCATTCAACTCTGCTTTGTAAGTTAAAAAAAAATCTGCATACTCTCTCTTGGTATTTAACTATTTTAAAAGTGTTGATTTAACTCTGGAGAGTGTGGTGCTACAAAGTATCTGAATTCTGAAAAAGTGTCAACATCAAAACTGTGGTACTTTTTGCTGTGAATAATCTCATTATATTGGGGGCTGTATTAAACTCTTGTTATGAATGTCTTTATTAATTGGCAAACAAGATTTTTAACGTGATATTTTGTATGTATGTATGTATGTATGTATGTATGTATGTATGTATGTATGTATGTATGTATGTATATATTTATTTATTTACATCTACGAAATTATTTGTAAGAAGATCTTGTTTGTGGTCACACTCCGAACCCTGTTTGGTCTCTCTAATGCACCCACTCTATCTTTACCACATGAAGAGGGGAGAAGAGGGGGGTTTGGGTATGTGTTGGGTGTGGGGCTGAGTGTGACTATGGGAACAAGGAGGCAAGATTCTACAATCTACCTCTTGAGAAGAGAGATAGGACAACACAGCAGCAGTACATCCAACTCGAGCCTCTTGCGGAATCCATCCCAGTGCGTGCTCACATTTCGACACATTTTCAGATGTGCTGCTGCGTTTTAGTTGCTCCTGTTGAGCTGTGTGTGTCACCCAGTGGACATCTGTATTTGTGTGTATGTGTGTGTGTTTTTGTGCAATATGAATCCCTTAAATAGGGCTAATCTATTTTAATCTCACCTGCCACTGTTACCTTACACTGATTGATGTCATGCTAAATGAGTCAAGACACAGAGAAATGCCTGTGGGAGTCAGGGGCTTGGGGGGGCAGTGGATATGTGTGTGTGTGTGTGTGTGTGTGTGTGTGTGTGTGTGTGTGTGTGTGTGTGTGTTTGCATTCACATTTGCGTGTGTGTGCATGCGTGTTTATCCATGCTTCTGCTGCGGCGCTAACAGGTTTCCTCCGCCTTGTTGGAAGGTCACTGGTGTCCTTGGTGATGTCTCCTTGTGTGGTAATCAGCACCATGGACAGCAGCGGCCATTCCCTCCCCACGAGCACCTCAGCAGACATTCGTCTCCTTTCAATCACAGAGACTCCCGCTGTTCGTTTTTCTCTACTTTCATTGTGCCAATCTAAAAGAATTGGAAACGCTGCCCATTACGCTTCACTCTTCATTTCACCCTGATCTTCAACACTGACGGAAAGGAAACACAGAAGCGAGATGTGAGAGAGCTGCAGGCAGCCACATCTATTAATATAAACTCGAAGAGAGAAGCCCTCCTAGAAACACTTTCTGATGATGACAGGTTCACACAGCCCACTGAGGGCTAAAACACAACAGCGGGAAGCCCTGGGAAGTCCTGATTTAAAACTTGCGACTGAGATAAGCTTCCATGTGACGCTTTGGAGAGCTGTTGCAAGCAAATGGAAGCGAGGGCAAAAATCGGGGAGAGATGAGAGATAAGAGACTGCTACTATATGCAGAGAGTTTGGGCAGAGAGAGAGAGAGAGAGAGAGAAAGAGAGAAAGAGAGAGAGAGAGAGAGAGAGAGAAAGAGAGAGAGAGAGAGAGAGAGAGAGAGAAAGAGAGAGAGAGAGAGGGGAGAGAGCAAGAGGGAGAGAGGGAGAGAGCAAGAGGGTGCAGATAGCGGGTGGGGAAAACCTCCTCTGTGAAAGGATGATGTCAGTCTCTGCAGCTCAGCCCCGGTTCCCAATTCGATGGGGTGAGCACAATCTCTCAGGCAGACGGGAGGGTGCCAGACAAATCAAGAAGAAGAAGAAGAAGAGCAAGAAAGAGAAGAAGAAATATGAGGGAGGGTCTGCTGAATTAATGAAGACCTGCAGGTATGTATGTCACATTATCGTGCTTCTGTGAGTTCCTTCATTCGTGCCCTTTGTTGTGTGTGCTGCTTGCCAGTAGGCTTTAGTTTAGCACTGTGTGTAATGTAGAGTTTATCATTATTATTCACATACTGTACATGATGGACACAGCAGCATTGCCCTCTGGGATACAGTCAGGTAAAGCACCAGCCACAACATTATGACGACTTGCACAGTATAAAAATATCCACTGCAAGAGATCAATCAATTCTTCTTCTTCTTCTTCTTCTTCTTCTTCTTCTTCTTCTTATTATGTGTTTAGTTTTTAGTAACACAGCGAATTTCTCCATTGTGAGACAAATAAAGGTTTTCTTATCTTATCTTATTCTAACAATACTTCATTATTGCGTCATTCAGTGTGCAGGTGTAGAACCGCATCATAATGAGAGCTAATATTGTCTCTTAACTCTCATGTAACTATTTGAGGCAACCAAAATATTAGACATAGCTCTCAGTAGAATGGAGTTCAGTTCTCCACCACTCCAACCCTCAACCACAATAATAAAAATAATAATAACCAAATTTTCAGTAAATGCCTCTGAAACAGCATAAAAAAACCCCGACCATATTTATCTTTATAAAGGCAACCTTTTCGATGATGCTGTGGCTTGTCTGTGTGTACGTGGTGAGTCATCCCGTAACTGCGTTGTGAATACACAGTAGGTCGCCTTATCCGTTATCGCAAAAGGGCAATGTGATGTTCAAAGTCACACACACTAATACAGCCAGATAGGAGGGAGAATGGCTCGATGGCAGCGTGTTTGAGGTCACATTCAACAGGCGGTGACACTGACAGAAACGCGAGTGATATTGGATTCACTGCGTGTCGTCTTCCCCTTTGTGTGACATTGACTTCCACGCTGTGAGCCGCAAAGGAGAGTAGGTCACACATGGTTACTTTTCACTGGCAATTGTGGTGAATTTAAAGCCTCAGGATGTGGGCACGCCGCTAACTTGTTTACTGCGTGGATTACACAGAGCCATGATGGATGAAATTCACTGTTTTGGTCCATCACATTTCAGGTTGTTGCATTAAGTTCTCTGTGAAGGATGCTTGTGAGGCAAAGGCAAGTCTGCAGGTCAACAGGTAGCATACAGAATCATTTTCAGTGTAGGATAACTGATTGCTTTTGGTGATTTTTTTTTTTTGGGGGGGGAGATGATGTAAGGTAATTAAATCAAGACACTACATGTTGACTACTTTACCCTGAATGTAATTATGAATTGCAAAACAAGAAAAAAAAGACATCTTGAATGAAAAACCAGTACTATGATGAATGATAACGTGTTTTTGTTTTCAGATTTGTGCATGCACACCGAAATGCTCGAGGCATTTTATTAGTTTGGCATTAAGTCAACTACTAAGGCACACCAGAAAGATCCTGCTGCAACACTCTCAACATACACTGAAGAAAAAAAGGTGTGTTGAAGTTCCTCAATTTTATTTCTTCCTGTGTTTGCACGAGATAAAAAATTATCCAGATACATTTTTGGAGTACATCTACTTAAAAAAAGGTATCTAAATCCAGGCTATTAGATTGCGTGCAACCACTTGGCAAAATAAAATTGGGTAACATCGACACCATTTACTTGGACATGCTGCCATGAAAACTCAATTTACCAAGCCAAAAAGAGCCTGCTTTTAAAATGTCACTCATAAGAATTCATTCAAAGCTGTTTGCTATGTCAACTAATTGTACTCTTTTATTATTATTATTATTATTATGATCAGGTCCAATCAACTTAATATGTTTGAGTTGAATGAATACCTGTTGTATTAAGTGAAAGTATGCCTTTTTTGTTTGTTTGTTTGCTTTGCTTGAGTCGTTGAGCGACGACCTTTTTCTTCCACACTAGGGCCCATTTAGCAGTGTCCCTGACAACACCTTGAACATGCGACCACATTCCACATGACAGTCCACAGGCACGGCTTCATATTGCGGTCCTCTCCTCAAAATTGAGCAATTTGCCATGACTCCACTGTGGGGTGTCGGGTTTCACTCACTGCCAGCATTTTATTTGTTTGCCTGGCCTTGCTGCTGCAGCGCCATTAATCGGAATAATCAAACAGGTCAAGCTTTTGTTCCCATTGTCTCACTCTTACACACAGACTCAAGTGAGGTAACAAATGGTTGAGTCAATAAAAAGTCTTTGAGCTGTGACTTCCCGCTGAGAAGGCCCTAATTAAAGTGTGCTTGACTTTACTTTCATGTTTCCGCTTCCATTTCACGCACAGTATATTATTATCCTCTCATTTGTTTAGCGATTCCTTTTCATGCCTCTTATAAACTACTTCTGCGAGCTCTATAGCGTCTTAACACGGATACAGGGCGTAGGTACCTCCTTATGTTGGAGCGGAAGCAAGGTTGCGATTGTTGTCAGGCCACATTGGTATAATGTCTTGATTTCTGTGTCGTCTTCATTTTCACAGGGGAAATGTGTTCATATTGAATTATTCATACAAATTCTCAATGTAGAACACAGCTTTCACATCACATAACCCCAACGGAATTTCGTTACAATATAGTCTGTGTGTGCAGTCATCCCTTTTCCTTCCTTCCATCCATCTCCAGCTCCCCTGACATTCCCAGCAGAGGAGACCTGTGCAACCCTCGGCGCGAGTGTCATTACCGCTGACCAGCGGCTCGTCTCCCGCGGCCCCTATCCATCCTCCCTTAGAGGCGATCGGGAGGTGAGATGAAAATGGAAAGGCAAAAATGGATGAAATTGTCAGAAATGATGTAAACAGACAGACAAGGAGCGGAGAAGAGAAAAGCAGACAAAGGTGAGTTGCTGAGTTGGTAGTAGGAGAAGAAATAGAGGCTGTCAGCAGACGGAGGGGAAGGAGCCGAAGATGAGAAGCGACAGGGAAGGAGCCTCGCAAATGGAGAGAAGAGATGCTATTTCAAGACGATACTCCCTGATAATGTCGCTCCACTTCAAAGTGCAAAGCGTTCCTGTCATGCTCCTGCACGTCTGGGCCTCTGGAGAATTTCCTCATAGACCACATGATAACAGGATGCTTGCCATCGGGGCGTGTGCGTGTGTGTGAGTGAGTGTGTGTGTGTTGGGGTTGTACTTACTACTTCATGTGGCACTGTGGCTCGAACCTGAACAAGATGTACTCTGCTCATGCTTTCTTCTCGCACACAGTTAACCGGAGGATGCGGAAGGAGGAGAGTGACTGCGTGCTGCGCCAGGCATCGCATTAAATTGAGAGGTAGCACAAATGTGGATTTAACCCATAGGTTGGCACAACACAGAATAAGACTCAATCACTAAATAAAATGAATTTGCAACTTTGGATCATGACCATCCCACACACTTTTTAGGCAGTGTTGTTTTGCTCAATTGATCGAATGATTAACAACAAAAACATGTTTCAAGAGATGTCACCAACCATCGTCCTATGTTGGGCATATCGAAGGATACACCTACAATTGATATTAACTCAGTATAATGCATATTTGATTGCCTCGCAATTATCAGAAAAATAATATTGACCTTGTTTTTATTTTGGCAATTTAGTCAATATATACGGTATTTCATTTGTTGGGATTTGAATGACGGTATATAATTTCAGAAAAGGATGAAATATTTAGCTGTTAGTTCAAGCATCGCGGTCCGGCTAGATCACAGATTTTGTGCGCGTGTGTGTATGTGTGTGTGTGTGTGTGTGTGTGTGTGTGTGTGTGTGTGTGTGCGTGTGTGTGTGCGTGTGTGTGTGTGCGTGTGTGTGTCATTGCAGTGGTTACTCTATTTTGTTTGAGTGTGTTCAAAGACCTTAAAAAAATAAAGTACCATCATTACTATAAGCACATTCCGAGAGTGTATTTAAATAGGGTATTTCTATATTGTGGATTTCAGTTACTGCAGGGTTGGGCTGGAATGTTACATGAGCAAAGAAGGCGGGTGATGACTCTGCTGGTACTTAATTCGGGATTCCGTCTAGATGGACGGAGAGTGTTGCTTATTTGATATTTTATACATAAGCTTGATATAGATTCATATTGTGCAAAAGAGAATGCAACCTGATTGATATCAATAAATGAGTGATGTATTGGTGTTTCCCAGGCAGGTGCCAACTTTTCACTCGAATATTCTGTTTTTTTGCACAATTTACATGTAACATAACATCAATTTCTCCACCCCATCTCCCTTTTTTTTAAGGTTTCATAATTCTTCAGAGACTGTCTGTCTTCTGTGCCTCCACATGCAAGCCAGTGTGTACTATGGCTTTTTATTCCTATGTGATGATGGCAAATGCTCATGTAGGAATAGAAGCCACTTTATACATGGTGTGAGGACAACGTGACGTGTGCCTGCCGCAGAAGAGCACACGGCTCAATAAATAGGAGCCTGTTCCCTGCAGTGAAGATAGGTTTGTGACCGTCGTTCTGAGCTGGCGACAATAATATAAAGTGTGTCATTGATGTGTGCGCATCTGTCTTTGCCGGCTGGCAGCAGTGCTGCTTTGTGTTTGACGCACGGCGTGACAGCGGATCTGCAGGGACGACAAAGTGATGTACAATGGAAGAAAAAGAGCCAGGAGGGATCGATACAGATCTTTAATAACTATAAAATAGGCACTTGGTGATCCACTTTACAGCTTGCACGAGGCACCGACTGCACTTATGCACTTCCCTTTCTTGTCATTCTTTTGCACATTATTAAAATAAAACTTTGACACGAAGCATTACACAGACAATGACCTACCTAAAATACTATACAAAACAAGATACGTACAGTATAAACAAAATAAAGCACCTTTTGTTGTCCAAGTAAATACTCTTCAGAATTAAACAGTTTGGAGTTGCTGACACAGATGATGGTGTTTGTGGTGTGTATGCGTGTGTGAGAGTGAGTGCGTTTGTGTATGTATGTGTGTGTGGGAGGGTTTGGTTTTATCAGTGCACGGGAAGAACTCCGAATACAGGTGGAAGGACGGCGAAGCCCTTGTATGCACCTGAGTTTATACAATGGAATCTTTCCTAATATAGTCTTGGAGCAGCCTACAGATGGAGCCCTCGGAGAGTTTACACAGTATCTTGAATGAACCAGGAAACACACAATGTGATCAGTGTGCCGTATAACTGCTACAGGTCTCATGTTCCCTTCTGAGGATGTTGGCATTCACATTACAATGAAACAAATTGTAGCACCATGTAACGTTTATACAAAAGGCTAATAGAATGCAGTGCAGTAATGTTACAATAATATTTGGGAAGCATGTACAAAGACAATAGTCCAGGTCAACAATTACATCATTTGGTCCATTTCCAAAGAAAGATGCTCATGGGTAAGACCATGTGGTGAATGCAAAATGAACATGCATTTCTTAATAAGATGTGTTTATCTGTCTTTTCAAGTATTCTTTTTCTTTTCTTTTTCTTTATAGACATCTGAAATATAATCTCTGAAACAGATAATATATATATATATATATATCAAAGCAAAAGCAGAAAAGATTTTTCTGGATAATGTTTTCATTTTTTTAGCAA